GGCATGGCACACAAGGGGGTGAAGGAGGCCAGTACCACGCCGGGCCACCTTTTTATCCCTCGTGGCGATACACACTGCACCAGGTACTCATTTGAGGCCGAGCTAACCTAGGGGAGGCCCAGGACAGGTTCAGATAATCATCACTGGTGTTGGCCATGAACGGGAATCAAACTTGGGTCACAGGGATCGTAGCGCAGTTCATTAACTACTATGCCACCGCTCCCCCTCCCACAACAAGCACAAACATGCACGCACGCCCACCCTGGGCATGCTGGTCCGTTCTTGTGCACACTCAGGCTCGTTGGCGTCCAGCAGAATGGTCCAGCGGTCCATCTTCACCTCCTGGGCCTCGTCAACGTTGATGAGCACGGAAAGCGGGTCCTCCCCGGAGTAGCCCGGGCCCCAGCGCAGCACCCGTGCCAGGTCATTACCTGCGACAAGAACAGAAAACAACAGTACAGCAATGTTTTTTTATCCATCTATGCGGAGCTTTGAGCGCTGCGACCCCTCGTATGCCCTGGGTTTTCTCCAGATACTCCGGGTTCCTCCCCCACCCATGAATGGATATGAGACTAAGTGAGTCGTTTTATTGGTTAAATAACGGGCGTTAATATTTGTATTAACCCTGAGCCCTGTCTTAATAGGTGTTCGCCAACATGCTCCACAATCTGACCCCTGGCACTTTAACCTTTAACCTTCGACCCTACCAGCAAGTAGTACAATTCACCCAAACGACACCGCTGTAGCCACGGTGACCCGGCTCACTGTGGGTGTTGTGGGGCCAAGTGGGGGGGGATGGAGGGCTGGGCTCACCCGTGCCGAGCGGCAGGATGGCGACGGGCGGCTGTGTGCAGGCGAGCTTCAGCTTGATGTCCTCGAGCAGTGACAGCACCCAGCCCACTGTGCCGTCCCCGCCGCACACCAGCAGCCGAAAACGCGGCACCTCCCGGAATACGTGGAGCCTGCGAGGAGGGAATGCCGCGCGCGCCTCTCAGTGGATGCGTACCCCCACCCCCCCACATTTACCCTCGTGCCCGATACCGCATCGCCACCGGCGATGTTAACAATTCGTCAGATGTCGAGAGTCGCGATTCCATTTCAAGAGACCGCCTGCCCCCTGGGACTTATCGACGCTGCCCTCCGGGCCACCGGAAGTGGGGTGGGCCAAAAGGGGCAACTTGGCCCCGGAACCCCACACAAAGGCGCCCCCCACCCCCCCCTGCCCCCCACAACGTGCCTGTTCCTTCTGTCGCTAACACATAAGGAGACCCCACAACAGGGGTGGAGCCAGGGGGGTGACAGGGTAGACAATTGTCACCCCGAAAAAAAATAAAAAAATCGAAAATCTGAAACATTTTTCGTTTAAGTGTACGACACTCGGTCTGGCGGACTCCGTGCAACTGCATCGTCAGAGTGTGTCGCCAACCGATGGCGTCTAGTTCAACAGCCTGACTCTCTAATCATTCTTGAAATTAAAATTTGTTGAATGTCACCCCGGGCTGAAAATCCTGGCTCCGCCCCTGTCCCACAAGTCATTCTGCCGCGGCTATCCCAGAGGCTCACTAGTGCTGGCCCAGCTGCATGCTTGGCGCAACGGGCCTCCTCATCTGCGCCCGGCAAATGCGGCCGCTGGCGTGGGAACCGGACGCGCAGGCGAGGTCAGGATCATCGGGTACGGGTGCTTTACTCTTTGGCGGCAGAGCCCCGGGGTATCACCCAGTCGCCCACAATGTGCCCGACCACGTCACATCTCGGAAGCTAAGCAGGATGGAGCTTGGATAGCGCTGCCGTGGGTGATCACCAAAGGCCAGGAGTCAGCAACCTGCGGCTCCGGAACCGCATGTAGCTCTTTAAGGACTACTTCGTCACGTTATTTATTAAGAACCACCGTCTGTAATTCACATGCATGCATTGCGTTCAAAACAAACGGCTCTTCTTGTTATTTTGGTTGCCGACCCTTGCCATAGGCGGTCGCGGTGACTGCGTGGCGGGCAGCAGAGGCGAGGCGAAACCCGCCGTCATACCGTACTTCTATTCTCCCCCATTTCCGCCAACCCACACCGACCGGCACGGCGAGGTTTGTTCAAGCCGTTCGGCTGCGGTTGCGAACGCCCTCATCCAGCAGCGGATTCGGCAACAGGTGCCGCATGCGTGCACGTCACGGCCCCCCCCCCCACTGCGCATCGCCACCCCCTGAACCCGCCGACCCCAGCCCGGGCACGTACCCCGGCAAGGGACCTCCGCAGGCCAGGTCGAACACCTGGTGGGGGTTGACCGCCTTGCGGAAGCTGTGAAGCAGCTCGCGACCCTGCATGCCCCCGCTCCGTGGGTTGATCAGCACCAGCAGGGGGTGGCAGCTGCGTGGCATCTGCTCCGGCTGGGGGTGTAAGCGAGGGTGTGTGTGTGTGCGAGGAGAGGGGGGAGCGAACGTATATTCATGTGTATGCACGCATGAACGTGTGCGAGAGCGTGCGTGAGCGTGTGTTTATGTTTGTGCGTGCACATGTACATGTGCAAGTGTGCGCGAGTACGTGAGTGTATGTATGCGTGCAGGTGTTGTATACGTTCAGGTGTATTTACGTATGCGTTCAGGTGTATGTGCATATGTGTTTACATGTACGTGTGTGTGTGCATGAGTGTGGCCGTAAATACATGTATGTGTCAACGTGTGTGCATGTACTGCGGCACATATGAGTTGGGGCACGCGTGTGCGTGCATGTATGAATGTGCGCATGTGTGTGTGTGTGTGCACGAGGCGAGAGCGAAATGATTAGCGCACAGCATTGCGATCCCAAGTCTGGCGCTATGGCACACAATTCCACAGCACCAAATAACCCAGAATGCCCCTGGGTTTGGTTTCTGGTCATAGAGAGCTGGTCCTGGGAATACCCTTGGTCAGCTCAGCTGACCAAGGGCATTCCCAGTATATGGAACTGTATAAACATCATAACTGGGGAGACTAAAGGTGGTCTCGTGATGCGAATCACACACACCATCTCCTCATCTGCCACGCCATTTTTAATGGGCGCTCACGAACAGAGCTTATCCCAAAAGTTGTCTTTAAGGTTTTAAAATGTTTTTGGCTTCGTGTGAATGTGTGTGTGTATCGGTCGGTGTATGTGGACACGTGTATATAAGTACACACACGCGTGTGTATGATAAGCTAAGCAGCTTCGAGTCTGGAAAGTGCTTCAATGGGCGACCACCACGCATTAACACATCTTATCATCTGCGGGGCTACGTTGTGGCTAGCAGAGGGGAGGAGTGCTGCAAAATCAATTGTTGTACTGTATTATTACATTCCCATGGCCCGTACGGCGCGCAGAGGCCCTCGTCCATCCAGCAGTGGACCGAACAAAGGGCTGCCACGTGTGTGTGACGTTACTGTGCGACGAGCGCTCACGATCAGCGTTGGGAGCAGGTTGATGCTAATGATCTTGTCGTCCACCGTGATCTTGCTGTCGTTGGCCAGACGGAACAGGCGCTCCGCCTCCGCGCACGACGACACCTCAAGGGCCACCGCGCCTACAGGGAGGGGGTGGAGCGGGGGGGGTACGGAGAAATGTGAGATTACAGGGAGCGGGGCACATGGGCAGTATGGACGGCACAAGGAGGAGGTGCTAAGGAGGCACGGGACAAGATGGAGAGTAAGGTTTTTTTTATCTGAGCTATTCTGGTTTGGATGAACCAAGACTCGCCCACCAAAATGAGTCTTGACACTCTGTAACGGGACAGTTATCACATGTCCCTCTCTGTGTGTCTCTGTATTAGCCGGCTCTCTGGGTTGTATTGCATTATATTTCTAAGTTTGCTACGTTTTTTCTCATTCATTCGTACCTGATGATAGTTGCTTGTGTTGCAATCGAATTGTCGTATTCTATTATTATTACATTAATTTTCTTTCTACGTGACTTTACCGAAAGAACCAAAGAGTAATTCCTGCAGTCACGAAAGCTTCGAATCTAGTTTGTTATCACAGCAGTTACATTCATGCCGTTTGAGAAAAGTGACCATCATCAAACTGCTGGTTTCCTGCGCGATCACTGCTGACCACACCGTGACCGGCAACTCCCTGCACTCGCAGAACTGGTTTCAATCAGAGGTAGCTAAAACCCGGATTCGAACCCAGCCTCTCGGCGGTGCCATCCAAGGGTCTCCCGACTCAAACAAACGCCGGCTGAGCCACCAGGCCACCTGACAATGCTTCACAGCGAGTGGGCCTCATGTTTCACAGCAGGTGGATCTCAATGTTTCACAGTGAGTGGATCTCAGTGTGAGCAGAACTGATTGTTAAGGCCTCCTGTTGTTGTGGCTAGGGAACATTATATCCGCCGAGGTGTCCGGCCACCCAAGGACACGGCTCACATTTACACAACAAACCGTAAAACTCTGGATCCAATCACTACGAAATTTCCCCACATCTCACCCTGCACCAATGCCCAGACCTTTATCAATTTTGGGGCAGATTGGCTATTAAATACCTTCATGCAATTTAATTAAACAGAAATCAATGTCATGCCGTGTACAGGTGCAATTAGCGCGCGTGCGCCATGCGTTAGGAGCGCATGTGCCGGATGTGCGTCCTGTTCGCGTCCACGTGAACGCGTTTTCTAAGCGCACACGTTTCTCTGCACGGTCGATTTCCTGGCTCACGGGCTGGTGTTTATGTATGAAGAAACCCTGCATTGGCAAGTACCTTGTTTGGAGTAGATTTGCGTTATAGTTGCCGTGTTTTCTGAAAAAAATAGAAGCGTAAACATTGTTTATCATGTGGGCATTACAAGGGGAGCATTAACGCAACTTAGTTCACATCACAAGGTTAACCCGAAATTACCCAGCCAGCCGTAGCACAAGTACATAATAATGAAAAAATTAAACACAATGACACATTTTCACTTTATATTACCAATTAAAATATTTTCCTTTAAGATAAAAAAAACCTTCAATTGGTTCATACGCAATTATAATTTTTTATAAAAAGATGTGAGGTTAAAAGGAAAATAACCACATTGTCTCTCAAGTGTGAAATGCGTTTCATTAGCAAGCCTGGCGCAGGCCCACACACACACACAAACACAATCCCACACTATATAAATGTACTAATGCTCACACACCAGCATGCGCAATTACGCACCGATGCACACATTATTTAATACACCCACACACACAGACACACAGACATGTATGCATACACCAGCACAAATACACGCAAAATAAATAAGCACACAATACGCCTCCTTCACATGTCTCTACCTCTCGCATAATCAATACGAGTATGTTTTGCACAGCCCATCAGCCACACGGCCTTTTGGGAGCGCATCATTTCAGCAATATTGGTTCAACACGAGCAAAATTGTTGACCGGTTTGGATTTTCAGTATCTTACCAGCAGCGAAGCTTATATGAACCAGGCTGGTGAACTGCCAGATGTATATCAGCAAGGACACTCTCTCGGCTAGTTATGCAAGCTATCCGACACCTGTTAGATACGGGTCTTATACAACAACAACAACAGCCGCCATTCGCCAATAAGTGGCAGTGACGTCACCACGGCGCTCGTGCCAGGCCACAAGGATCCCCCGCACAGCCTTAAGAGACTGTTGAGCAAGTGCTATTACCGAAGCACACTATAATAGCGGCGATGTTTACACACCACACCAGGTCATCTGAGGCTGAGTTGACCTAGGGGAGGCCCATGACCTTCAAATAATTGACACTGGTATTGGCCATGAGCGGGAATCAAACCTCGATTCGCCAGGTTTGTAGCGCAGCGCACTAACCACGACACTACAGCTCCCCAGGCCACGCACACACAGGCACGCAAGCAGGCACGCGTGCAGATCTTCATCTTGAGGCCATGGCGGCGGCATGGACAAGCCACGCGGCAGAGCGGTGCACGGGAGCCAAGGTCGCACGCGCACGGTGCCTTCTGGTGAGCGTGACGTACGCACACGCCCCTGCGCTCAGGGTAACTCGTACTCAATCTCGCGGCACAGATAAGGCAGCGCCTATCACCGCCCGCGACTGCGTGCGGCGCACACTCGCGTGAGCGCGCACACGCACGGCACGCACATACACAGAGCAGCGGCCGCTGCCATTCGCTACGATGTCACCATGGCACAAGTGCCAGGATAGGTGCATTTTAAAGCCGCGAGAAAGCTTCGAATGCACGTGTGCAGGAAGTCAGAGGACAGACCCTGGTGTTGGTGTTATAGACTAAGGAAGACTGGCGCATGAACCACCTGTGCTCCCTACTGCATACAAAGATCCTCCAATAGCCTTTTAATTCTCAGGCTGTTGAGGCAAGGACTGTTAGCGAGCGCCTGTGAAGACCAGCACGGTACTCATGGGGGTGGTGTGGCCAGCACCAGGCCTGGTTTTATTTGTAAGTGTTTGGGTGATTTGTTTACCTTTCTTGTACTATGCACTACCATCACGTGTTTTTGTACTATTTGTTGTAGTAACGTTCTTACCCCGTGCCCCTACTGGACATTTGTGAAAAAGAGCTTTATAGCTCATTGGATTCCTCCAGTATAAATACATATTCTGATTCTGGTTGCCCGTGTCTCCCCGGGGCTGAGGTTTACACACTGCACCAGGTACTCATTTAATGCCGAGTCGACCGAGTGCAGGGTCCACGATCGGGTTCAGACATTGGCGAGGAAACAAACTCGGGATCATAGCGGAGTGCACTAATCACTACTATACGACTCCCCAATGCGTACACACACATTAACAAAAATCGCACGCACTCACCATTGAGTTTTACGTGCGTGCGCAGCAGGGAGAGGTAGTCGGGGGCAGCGAGGCCGGGGGGAAGCCCCCCCACCAGCAGCTGGGTGTTGCCATCCCCATCGAGTTTTGCCGTGATGTAGAAGCGCGTCAGGTTTATCCGCTGCACTGAAAGCTGCACGCACGCGCAGACACACACACATGGATATGCGCACAAACACAGGCACGTACACACACATAAACACAAGCGCACAAACACACACGCGCACACATACCTACACCCACGCACACACACCCACCGGCACATACATACATACATACACACACAAAGATCCTCTGCTTAGCCTTAGAAACTTCAGGGGAAAATGCTGTTATAGTGAGCACCTATTTAGATTGGCTTGGTACACGAGAGGGTGGTGTAGCCAGCACCACAGATGTCTGATGTTTACACACTGCACCAGGTGCTCATCTAAGACTGAGCTGACCATGGGGAGTCTCAAGACACAGTTCGGATACCATGTCGTCACTGAAGTTGAGTTTGGCTGGGAGTTGAACCCAGGCCGCCGCTGGGATTGTAGCGCAGCGTGCGAACTACTGTGCCACCGCTCTCCGTACGCGTAAACGCACGCTCGTTATTCGCACGGTCGCACAAGTAGCGCCGCACCCTCTCATCGAAGGAAAGGGCTTTAAATGTGGAGGATTATTAAGTGTTTAAGAATAAATCGTGTTTTCCGATTCATTTATTTCATTTCAATTATATTCCCATTGTGCTGTTGTCTGGCGTCACATCGTTTAATTTATGGCTCTTTTGTTAATCCACTGCTGGATGAAGACCTTGGGGATTGTTTGCCCATACTTCACCACACTTGCTCAGTGCGGGATGGTGAAGAGGAGGGGACCAACAGCGGTTTGGATATCAGAATCTGGATATTTATTCATACTGGATGATCCGATGAGCTATAAAGCTCTTTTTCACAGATGTCTAGTGTATCACTCGCCATGAAGGGGAAAATTGTGCTCGGGTCGCGCGGGTTTGTGACACGGCGTGCGAACCGTGGGCACCCCCCGCCCCCCCCCCCCCCGCTGCCCCAGCTGTGTCGCTACGATGAAGACAGCTGCGTGCCATCGCATTGCTCCAGGGATCGGCGCCGGAAGATGACATCGCAGAATCACTCCCGAAGCCTCTTCGAAAGATAGATTGTTTTTATATATATCTACAAACCGGTGGCAAACATTTAATATGCCCAACCAAAAGGATTTGCCGCCTGGCAATCGAAGCAATTTTTTTTTAATTCTCAATCCAGAGTTTTGCCGAGTTAAGCGGAAAAAAAGCCAATCCTAACAAGGTTTATTTTTGCGTGTGCAGTCATCGCTAAGTGGGTTGAGATGTTCCTCTCAATACACTGGAAAGCGAAGTCTTCATTCATAGCAGTTCAATGCTGGATTGGAGCCCAGGTTTCTCAGTGGTGTGGTCTCACTGCTATGATAGTGCCTTAATGGTCATTATGACGCCCACCCAACCCCTCCGCCTCACCGCACCCAGGTCACCCGGCCACTTCTGTCCCGTGCTTTCCTTTCTCCGAGCATGTTTAAAGCAGTGCTAAACCTGTCTTTAATGGCGATTATCATCAAATAATTTTGATGCAATGCTGCCGCGAGTTACAATTATCATTTAGACGCGTAACGCATGACGATCTCACAATACGTATAACGAGCACACAACAAACACGTAGTAATATTTTACGACTTAATTCGATGATCCGGGATAGCCTTGCGAAATCTGACGACTGTTTTTTTTTTTTTACGGAGGTCTCTTGCATTGGCACGTTTGGCCAATTCCAACGAGGAAATGTTTTGCACGTGGGAGGAAAGCGGAACAACCCGGAGTAAAATCCTCGGCACGCGCAGGCGGTTTGACGACGAACCCACTTGCTGCGCTGCCACCTCTTGGATACCACGCAGCCCGGCGAGTTTGCGAGTTAGTTTCGCAAACATCCGAGCGAGCCGCCAAAACCCCTTGGGCTCCAAAGTGCCTCGGGTTATTTACAGGGCGGTGCCGCCCGCGCCTGGGTCTCAACCACGTCAGGTGCTGCTGAAACGATTCGTCGGACACGTTCGGCGCACGTTGTGAGAAAGATGCGTATTGATAGTCCCACTGTATCCGCGCAAACGAGCGAGCTCGTTCGGGTTTGTTCACGCGTTCCGTCCATTCGGCACTTGAGGTCGGTTCACAAATCCACGTCAAACGAAACGGCATGCACACACGAGGGCCCTCTGATGGGAGACGGTAAGTTCAAGTGGGTGCCGAGATTCATGAACTGGATTGAATTATATTTTATTTTCTTCCTTTGCCCGGGGAATGGTTTGTCTGTGTACGTCCGTCCAAAGGCACTGCTCATGTTTTCACGAAAACTCCCAAGATTCCTACCACACAGCTCACCAATACTAAACTCACCATGCTTCTCACCAACCCCAACACCCAAACGTGTATATTATAATGGGAGAGTAAATCCTTAAAAAAAAGGCATATTAATAAAAAATTACGTCACACTGACTAGCACATTTAACGTGCGCGGACGTTAGAATGAGGGCGCGGACGTTAGAATGAGGGCACTGGCGCGAGAGCCCGCTCGCACGCGCCTAACGCGTGGGCCCGTTTGTGTCTGCGTTTGCGTGGCTTCAGTCCACATTTCGTTTACACGGTTGATGCCGTTGACAAAATGGGGAGGGGCTCCCTTATGGGAGAGACTTGGCAGCTTGCGCCTACATTCGCTGCTCCTGCCTACCTTTCGGATCTCGTGCAGGTGATCCAGCATGCTCTGCTCCATGACCAGCACTCTCCTCTGCACTGGAGACACAAAGGCACCAGCAGCAGCAGTCACTCACACGGCAACACTGACATTGAAGACACATACAGAAACAACAGCAGCAACCAGGATAACTAAAATCCCCCATGCAACCTTTCACAGGCTGCTGAGGCAAGTACTATTAGCGAGCACCTACGAAGGCCGGCACGGCACACGAGGGAGTGGATGGCCAACACCACTCCCGGCCGCCTTTGTCTCCCCAGTACGGATGCTTATACGCTGTGCCAAGTACTCATTTAAGGCCCAATCGAGCTGGGGTGGTACAGAACCGGTTCAAATTTTTTTTTTATGGCTGATGCTAGCCGTGACCAGGAATTGAACTCAGGTCGCCGAGTTCACAGCACAGCATTGCTCCTGCCGCTCGTGCCCATTGTATTATTTTACTCCGGTAGAATAAAGTCACGGTGGAGCAGTGGCAGAGATTCGCCCAACGCGCTACAAAACATGGCAACCCGAGTTGGACTGCCGACCAAAGTTAACCCCAGTGGTACATTCTAAACCTCACCCTCACCAGCCTGCACTAGCTAGCTTGGTGAAGTATGGTCAAACGTGCCCTCTGACGGACACAGTGTGGGGTGTTATTATTATGTAAAATAGAGACTACCAAACAAATGAATCACTTGCAAGTTCATTCCATTCTACTTTCAACTGTGCTTCTGCTGGACAAGGAGGCCTAATCCATTATTAAACCTTGATTGTATCATTATCAACATTCACAATGCATAGAGGTGGTTTATTTAAATTTTCGATCATTACATTTCCATTTGAAAGTAAATACTGCTTAATTCAAACTTTACAGGACTGTTTTAAATTGGGCAAAAACTGGATGGGGATGCCACTGAACCAGGCAGCCCTGTGAGTAACAGCACACTGTCAGTACCGTTAACATGGACATTGCAGAAACAAAGTTCCGGGAATTTAACCCACAACCTCAGCCAGCATGGCCTAGCGGCGGGCGCATCAACTACCAGGTCACCCACGCCGCCCCGGCAAAACCTGGCTGAAATAAAGCCGCGGTTACCCCCACATCTGACGCAGCGGAGTAAATCTCCATCGCCAAGAGGCCTCAAGGTCCCAACGAGTTTGACAGGAACCACCGTGGGAGCTCCTAACGAGCCACACGTCCTGACTAGACAAGTCCAAATTCCCAGCTCCGACCGGCGGTCTCGCGAGCATCATCAAATCCGCCCCCGCAGACTCCAATTTCGTGGGTCCCATTGTCCAGTCCAGATTTCCGTGGCAGCCAGCCTCCTCCAGTTACATATAAATCAGATGCCCATTCATATGTAAATGCTGCAATATGCATCACGCACGCATCTGGCAGTCACGCAAAGATGCGCCGCACATCCCCCACCCCCCCCTTTCGGGATGCGGGCGCCTGAATTTAACGCACATCAGCAGCAGCAGCTGCCGGAGAAAATATTAATATACAGATATATATGAATATACAATCATGCTTGCGTATTAGCGGCAGTTGTATAAGCACCGCAAGAAAAAAACATTCTGTCCAATCGCAAGGTGCTTTTTATGATAAATCATTATTGATGATGATGGCTGTGATGTGCTTATGTTGTACAATCTGTTCTCTTTCACTTTGTTTAAGAGCCTCTCTGGCTTTGAAGCCAGAGCACAGTTGCACGGAAATATCACCAACATGAAGGCGGTTGGAGACGGCGCAAATTAATTCCCGTGCTTTTATTTTAAAGCCGCGTAAAACGTTTTCTTTTAGGGGTGGAACTCGGTGTTAATAAATGAATCGCTCCGCAGAGATTTACCCTAGCTCGAGACGATACAAGCATCAGAACCGATGTTTTATCGGTTTGTGAACGTTGAATGGGAATTGGTTCACATCAGCCGCTCGGCAGCCATGAGAGGAGCTACCATTCAACCGGAATGCTCAAGAAAAGAATCAAATCACCAAATTCCTGATCATTAATCGCAACAAGTAATCAAACACTGGAGGAAGGGCGGTGCATCACTCCACACCGACTCTTCTCTCACACGAAGATTACGTAAAACAATTATTCATTCACCGCAATCTACAAGTTTTCCAACTTTTTTGCGGTGGTAGTAGTAATGTGTTCCAAAATAGAAAGGCGCAGAAAGCAAAACAGCACGAGGAGACAGGTGCTTCCCGAGGAGCAGCACATAGAGCACACACACAGTACATACAATGTTGTCCCACATCCGACTGCGTAGCCCAAGCACATGAGTGAATTCAAACCGCACAACATCGCGAATCTTGGGTAGAAATAGGTTAGCCGCATATACAGCGCAAAATCACACAAATCAAACCAGTGTAGAAGCAAGGGAAACCTGTATTTTTAAATTAATTGTTGCACAACCAATTGGGAAACATGTCAGGGCACAGTGAGAGGGCCTGTAACCCCCCCTCCTCCCTCCCCCACCCCCTATCCTCCCTCCCCCACCCCCTATCCTCCCTCCCTCTACTGCAGCCGATGACCGTCCGTCAGGGACTCTGCAGGTGACACGGCGAGGGTTTAAACGACGCGCGTGCCGCGAGCGCCATCAGGCGGCAGCGGCTTCAGGCAGGCGCCACCCTCTTCACGCGCACGGCCTCACCGATTCGTGCATTTGTCATCGAGAACAATCGGTGGGGGGAGCGGAGAAAATAACAGCGGAGGGGCGTGACCCTTAACCTGCTCGCCGGCCAGTGCCCTCACTGCCTCCACCGCCGCCGCAGCAAGGAATGCGGCAGGACCGGTCGGGCGTGAGAGATGTAAGTTCTCGCTTGACGTGGCGGCTTCACTGCCGTGTCCTCGCAAGGCAGAGCAATGCAGGCTGCGGTGACCCGTGTGTAGAGAGGATGAGAGAGAGGGGAGGGGGGGCTCTACAGGGAGAGAAGGGGGGGGAGACCTCTCTCCCTGAGTGTTGTCCCCTCACATGTGTGGTGGTTCTTCTCCGGGTGCTATGCTTTCTTACCACGAGGTCAAAATGCCAGGAATGGAATTGGCCAAACATCCTCCTGAAGGTGAGCTTTGAGATGCTGCAAGGCTTTCCATTGGCGATGTTTGACCATAATTCACCACACAAGTCTTACTTACTTAATGTTATTTTTCAAGTAAAATATCAGTCAATACAATACGATCCTGGCACGTGGTGCGAAACGTCGGACGTCACGAGGTACAAACCGTCAAATCACAGGAGAAGCCACACAGCACAACCACAACAACCTACGTGGCAGAACCTCGTTGAGAGTTTACTTCTAATGTATGTTGCTGTTTCTTCACCAAGGTTGTGTTACCAGTCATGCCTGGTTCTTGTGCTCGTAATGCCAGATCTCACTGGGAAGATAATCTCTGTCTGGTTGGGCTCTCAAATGGCGATGTAATATAAACATTTTAACGTAAAAATGTCTATTTAAGGAACGAAACAAGAGTATTTTTCCACAAATCTGGCTGTCGCCTGAAGATGCTAGAAGTTACTGGTGAAACGTCGTACTCAGATTGTAAATGTTGTGGATTTGCTCTCCAACACACTGGTGTGCTGTACTAGTTATGAATTGGCATGTTCTGTTAGAATGCGGAAATATAAATGTGTCGTTAACCCACCAGCACCACCACCCGACACAGCCAATAAGTAAAGTTTGTCACGTAAACAAAATGTACCAATTAGTTACTACTTCAGCACACCGGTGTGTTGCAGGGTAAACCCACAGCATTTACAATTTTAGTACCGTGACATTTACTCGGAGTAACCACGCGAGAGCTTGCGAGGCCCGCTGGCACAGCTCGGCCAGTTCCACGAGTGAGTGCTCTGGTACGCGGGAGGAAAACGAGGCAGCCACGGGAAAACCCACCGCGCGTACGAGGGGGCAAACTAAGAAAGCGCCGCATGGACTGGATCGCCGAATCATCCACTTGCTGCTCGCTGCCATTTTTTGCCCACCCCGCAACCCAGCGAGGGTTTTAGGATTCCTCCAAAATCTAAGAGATCTGCCAACCGCTTGTTCTCTGGGTTATTAACGGCGTGTGCCAACACGCCCGCCGGGCTGAGAGTTACGGTGACCGATTTGATGCGATGCCCACGCCACTCACCTTCCCTGCAGTGCATCATCACCTCCGTCAGCCTGTAGTCATCCGGGCTTTCGTTCTGCGGAAGCACGGACATGGCTCGCATGTTAATACAGCGTCCGCACTCTTGTTTCTACGTTGGTAACAGCTTGGTGAATAAACACAAACTCAAACACAAGCCCGACGATTGCCCGAAAAGGGCACAGTTTGGATTGAAACATTCGAGCTCGGGGTGTCATAAAAGGACAGCACCTCGGATTAGCACGGTTGGCTACATACGGTACAGCACAGCGCCTGTATGAGCCAAGGTGTTATGTGATGGTGTGCAGCACCGTCTTTTACCTTGCTAAACAGGTGCACGACAAGTGTGATGGTATTTATCTCTCCATTAACTTAGGATGCTGTGAAATACTCGATCGTGATATTACAGAACGCAAGGGGGCTCGGGCAGGACACGGCGCCGCTCGGAGGGATGATGCCGGTGGTCAAGACCAACGACAGAGTGACAGCCAAAGGAGCGAACGCGTCCGAGAAGCATCCACCACCGAAACGAAGCAATGAAAAACTGTAGCTCGTGTGCAAGTCCTATAGGGATATTGCTTGTTTACTGACTTTATCCAGCAAGTGAATTGATCATGGCTGACGATGATGATGATAATGGTGATGGTAGTGAATTAATGAGATGAAGCCTAATTGTGTTTGTGGTGAAGTGCAATCCATAGCTCGCATCACATTGTGCTGCATAGTATGGGTCTCTATGTGGGTCTCCATACAAGTCTCCATGCTAGTCTATGGGTCTCTATGCGAGTCTATGCGAGACTCACCCACAAGTGGGGAACTAAGGAGATGAAGCTTAATTGTGAGTGCGGTGTACAGCATTCCCCACCACTCTCATCGACAAACCGCTTTTGCAGGCGATACAAACGGAATCCATCTGGGGGCCCCAGCAGCCATCGAACGGCTTCTCCAAAATCAACACAGGGCCACCAAAACCCGGCCACGGCTTTCCAAATGCCGTACGAGAGACGCCACAAACCTGACTGTAATCGTATCGACTGTAATCGTATCGACTGTAATCGTATCGACTGTAATCGTATCGAGCAAGTGTCAAGTGCCCGGGTGTCAAGCACTGACCTTGCGTCCGAGCAGCAGCAGGACCTCCGTGATGACGGATCGCACCGTGTGGCTCTCGTCGATGCGGAACGACACATACGCCACACCTTTGCTGCATACCCCCCACACACAATCCGCGGCGCAGACAGCGATACCACACGCGTTACGCGCTGCATCCATCGCCAGCGACCCTGCGGCGGCCGCTCCAAGCCATTCGTGTCGAATTCCGCATGAGAGGGACCGCGGCCGGTGCTTGAGACTAACATCGTTCGTCCTGTCCCGCAACCTCCGGTCGGCCTCAAGTGACCTCGTCGAGCCACGTCGTCTCTGGCACTCCCAGACAAGGCGAAAGTTGCTTCTCCGTTCGCAGCTTCAATAGTCTGGAAGTAACTGCCTCCTACTCCGTCAATCTCGCAGAACCACACATCGGCGCTGGTGTCCTCGCTTCCATCAGAATGTCAAGCCTCTTGTTTTCTCTTTAATTTATTCTCCCATGCCGTCTGAACGTCCTTTTGCCAGTCGAATTTGCGTGCGTCACAAATGTTGCTCACCAATAAATGGAGCACGACGGAGAGGCGCGACCCGTTAGGGAGACGGAGCGGTAAGATTGGCTCACGTGCGCAAGTGGGGTGGATTGTTCGTCGCGTAATCATGAGGCACAGCAATGGATTCGGGAGATATTCATGACCTTCATCCAGCTGTGGATAGATCGTGGCTGATAATGACGACGACGCCGAGGGACCAAGGCATAGGAAACGCCGACTGCGCAAGCATCCAAATCAAATTTGGTTTGCCACTGAATTTGCCAAAATTCTAGCTCTTGAGAATTCTGTTGGTTAAGACTGCCATGTGACGAACATTTCTCCAAAGCAGGGCATGTGGACTTGTACGCCCTTAAATGATTGTATAAAAAAAAGGTCACCTATAGGGAGATCTAACTCTAGTTTAGCGCCATCGCTTTCCGCAGGCAGGCTATTCTCAAAACACCGGGGGGGTTGCTCTGCTCTACGCGAGGTCCCAATGGACGCTTCGTGTCATTACACCGACCACACAAATTCCAACAAAAGTGGCAAAAGGACAAAATAACTTTCAAAAACGGAAAACGATTCCGGTCAGAAGACGCTGATAGTTCCTGTGGCACAACATTAACAACTCGGGTGTACTGATACTTGCCTAACAATCAATTCCCTCTGCCGAACTGCAGCAGTATAAAGTAACTACTCTTGCACTGACGGCAGCTACAGTTAATTGATACTTATCTTAACTTTTAATTATGGTACGCACCAAATAATGAATAAGCGCACGGCGAGCGACTGCATAAGAGCACGTAATTAAAATATAAAAATACAACGGCGCCTTCAAAGAACATTGGTGTCACAATTAAAGCGAGCTGCGGCACAGTCACAGCGATGAATCGCGCGCGGTGCAGCCTGGCGGCACGTGCATTGAGGATTCATCGCGCGTGGCCGCAAATTAACGAGCTGTGGGAGGAGGCGAGACCTCCACGGCACGCACGCACACTCTGCGGAACAAAGATGATCAATGCAAAATAATAACGGTGCTTAATTGTACCCAGGAAAGGCTCACTGAGGCTTTGAGAAATGTATTTTTAAGATCATCCGCCGTGGAAAGCTTCACCAATATCGTATCAAGCGTTTTTACACGTGGGAGGTAATAGAGTGCCCGGAGAAAACCCATGCATGCAAAAGAAGAACGTGAAAATATATATATCGGCAATTATAATGATAATAATGCAATGAGTAATGCACGCAATGATACAAGGACATAAATGACCATGGCTATGAGGCGTGGAGCCAAACTGAGTGTCATTCTAAAACCATGTGAGAGTGGTGGGGCCTTTCGGAGAGATGGCTGGGCCTTTAAGTGTCTATTCAAGTCGGCGCAGATTGAACGTCGCCGTTGCGAATCTGCAGCGGGACGATGATGGCCGCATTCCAGACGGCGGGGGCTGCCACGGTTAAACCGCGCCTGGCAGTGACCATGTCGGTGTTTGGTGTAGAGAGGGGGTTGTGAGCCGCGCCGTGGAGAGGTCTACCGTGAGTGGTAGTGCATGTGCGCTCACAACCTACTTGCGCTACTGCTAACTGAAGGCCAACTGGCAACGCGTCTCAACTCGCATGATAATTTCCGCAGGAACGAACAAACACCATGAAGTCTGTGGCTGAGGTCTAGGCCTCCTCCACTTAACGAGGTTGTTCTAAGTACAGAGTAACTTGAGGTAGCCGGGGCCGTAAGCTCTGAATGTACAGGCAAGGGTCACAACATCATCATGGCCGCTACAATTACTTGCTCGAGTAAACGCAGCGGAGAGTAGCGTGGGAGCACCATGGAGAGTAGCACAGGGAGTAGGGCAGAGAGCAGAACTGGGAGCAGTGCGGGGAGCAGGGCTCACCATAGCCAGTCAGCGTAGATCTTCACAACCTCGGAGGAGGAGCGCTTGGCCCGGATCACGTACGCCTCCGGGAGGGTGTCCCGGAACACCTGTACACAAGAGGATGCCGTGTGTTCCAGCGTCACGGTTCAACTTCACAAAATTTGAAAATACCGTGTAGGGAAAGTTTCCACTGGTGGGGGGCGGGGGTCCCGTTGGCGAGCATGCCACAGCGGGGGACTGGATCGGTTGAGATGACGTGATGATGTACTGGGCTTCAGAAATTCCAGGACTCATTGAACGGGTGCCATATTCACGCAAATCTCTGTCCCTTCACGCTGCCGAACCCACAGGAGACATCCATTCCCCTCCTGGCCCGAACACATGAAGCCGTTAAGTGGCTGTTTTGTTGTCAATAATACCACATTTAAATATATTTGTGTATCGGTTACTGAGGCTGGAGTACAGTCATACGATAACAAGGGGCTGGTCCGTTGAAGACAAGTTCCCCTCTGTAATCCCCGGCTGGAATGCTGGAATACAACAAATCAGGGGTGCCACGGTGGCGAGATGTTAACTACCTCGCCTGGTATGTAGAAAGTCGTGGGTTCAATCGCAACCCTTACGCATGTATATTTGGAGTTTGCATGTTCTCCCCGTGGTCGCGTTGATTTTTCTCCTAGTCCTCCAAATATAGAAACACGCGTTATAAATTCCCACATGATCAGCCACTTGGTTGGCTATCAATTGTGGCCAGGTAACTTCTGAAAGAGCTATATAGCTAAGTGGGCCTTACCTTGGTAAAATACGTTTTTTTAATTGGATAACTCCACGCTCTTCATCCAAACACTACACCAATAATGCTTGCAACACGCACATCCTTCCTAAGTGTTTCACAACTCAGCCAATGTCTGGCTGTGTAATTTTATCCAGGTACTGCAATCAGCTGCTCAATGCACACACACGTGCTTCTCGAGCCAAGTTCCAATTGTAGATTCCTGGCACAAAACGCGTGCTTTCAGGCGTCGCTTACAATCACAGAGGTCAACGAACCCAATGTCAATACTCAATACTATGGATACATGCACGCATCGAATTGCACAATTTACGTTCCTCCATTCTCATCACTAACATCATCATTATCATCAGCCATGATCAATCCACTGTCGGATAAAGGCCCGCTGCCCATGCCTTCACCTTTTCGTCATCGCTATCCTGCAATGTAACAATCCACCTCGTACAGTGGTGGCCAACTGGTGTCTCCAGAGCCGCATGCGGCTCTTTAATCCACCACATGCGGCTCTATCGAAGGGGGATAACGTAGAACGCACTACTATCACGGTAGGTCTCCTGTGCTGTGCCGAAAATTGTCAATATATACACAATTGGCTCGTTGCAAAACTCACGGGTACTAATTGGCTCTTGGTCTGTTACAGTTTGGCCTCCCCTGACCTAGCACACGTGATGATTTCATCTCAGCTGCGGACATCCTTTCAGATGCTTTACATTCCTCGGCCGTCAATCTGATCAGCGTACGCTGTGGGTAACAGGTTCACGTCAGCTGATAGCGGCGCGACCGTTCTCCGAAACGTTGAAAAAGAGAATCGAATATTTTCATTGAATTCTGACCCCCCCCCCCCGAACCGTCACAATTCACAGTCGCGAGGTGGGGGGGGCAATCGTTACACTGCAGCTCGTTACATCCGGTGGCTGTGCTCTACGAATTAACGTTATTGCACTCTGGAGAAGCGTGTTCCACAATAGGCGCTTTACAAATGAACGTATTGGCGGTACACCGGTTCGCAGCATTAAAAAAACAAAATGTTCGCAATAATGATCTATTTCCCCGCAATTCGCAACCCCAGTCAGAAAATCTTACGGAGTGCATCAAAATCAGTTCTCGTGATGTCGAAGCAGTCGGAAGACAAATTTTATGACTGGCTGAACACGAAGCTTCACAGTCTGTTGCCGAAAAGCACCCAGCCTGAAGACGAATAGCTCCGAGTTCCCAAGGCAGATTTGACTCGTGCCCTAGACTTGGTCGGACGGTTCCTCGATTAATTTCCGGAATAATTTATTGGCGGACAGTGGCATCAAAAGATTACGACTCGTCTCACATATTCCAATGGGAAAGCAGCCTCTGAATCTAAGGTAACTTCTGATGGAGAGAGTGCAGCTCACTCAATGGCAACAGCGACATCGTCAGTTTGGGCCTCATCTTTATCTGGTGGGTCTACAGCAGCAGCTCCGTCAGCGGCAAATAGCAACGGCTGAGGAATTTTATTCTGGTGGAGCGTCAGTAACGGCTACAGCGTCTGTTCAAGCTTCATCGTAAGCTAGATAGTCAGCAGTTTAATCAATGGCAACTGCATAGACGCAATTGCCGTTTATGAGAACTAGTGTGTTACGCTGAACCATTGTATTTTCGTCCAAATGTAAAACGTCCAAATGTAAAGCCGTTGTCTGCAAGAGGCAGAACCGGCCCGGCCGTCGTGACATGATCATTTCAAGATACCCCGGCAGGTTGAAAGCGGTCGCCATGCTCTCACCTGGACAAACTGCTGGTTTCCGGGGTCGCCCTCTGTGCTCGGGTCGTCGCCCAGGTGACCGTTGCCATGGAGACCGCTCTCTTCGGGGCTGAAAAGCATCCCAAGGCTAAGACTCCGCAGCTCGTAGTCCGTGGGGTTTCCCGGGAGGAAGTACTCTCGCAGGGCTGCCTCCTGCCCGACACAGAAAGGATGGTCAGCAACTCCCTCCATTGAGAATTACGACAGAAAGACTGATGGGGCAAGTGGTGTTAGCGAGCTCCTATTAAGGGCCAGCCCGGTGCATGAGAGCATAGTTAGGGTAGCACTCACGCCATTATTTTACAACTGCTATGTGTGTTTAGTTTGTTGTCCTTTCCCCGCACCTCCAATTAGCACGGTTTGGCTATGTAAGGTGCAAAAGAAGTTCAATATACATACATGGCAGGCCACCTCTATAACGTTTGTTACAGGAGGAGGAAGTTTGGATGAACCGGTTATTGAAATAAAAAGGTGCGGCCCAGCAATTTCCTGCTCACGCTACAGCTGACGGAAGGACCCTCCAACACCAGAGGGAACTCTAGAGAGCACCACTTCAGGGTATTTTGGCCTACTCTTCCACGTTGGTCAGACTGTCTCGTAAAGGTGGCAGTGCCTACACTTTACCACACCACAAATCATAAGCCAATCGTTTAGAATCAGAATCTTTATTTTTACTGGAGGAATCCGATGAGCTATAAGGCTCTCATTCACAGATGTCCAGTAGTCTAATACCATGCTGTACCCATTCATGCTGTAGAGTTGACAGAGGGCGGCTGCCGTGGCCGGAGACGGACGCTGGATTTCTAGTCCGGCAGTAAAATCATTAAACCGCCGCACCACCTCGAACCAGTTACGAAGGTTTACGGAAATTTACATCGCTGGACGTACAAAACACAATCGATTTGATGGGAGTTGCAGATAAGTGAGGAGTGAATCTGACCCGGGCCTCCCTTATATTAACTCGGGCTAAAAATGCGGTGCTGACCTCACCATACACCACGGACCCGATTCATCACACTGGATCAATAGGTCTCACAAGTAAGCTTTGTTATGTTACCCAAACAAGCTTTGTTATTTCACGTAAGTAAGCGCATGTGTGTGGTATCAGGAGAGCCGTGCTGTGGTCACAGCAGTCAACTCTTTGCCACAAGGTCTCAAGTTCCAATCTCGGTCCGGGGATCAATTCAGTCTCTCACCAGCAACATTCGGCCATGGTCATAGGAGAGTCAGTGGAGGGGGAGTAGCGTGAGATGAAAGGTGAGAGGTAAGAGTGTTTGAAGGGGGAGAAGAGTAAGATGAAATGGGAGAGATAAAAGAGCATGTGGAAGGAGAGTAGAGTGAGATGAGAGGGGAGATACAGGAGAGTGTGTGGAGGGGGAGTAGAGTGAGATGAGAGGGGAGAGGTAGGAGAGTGGGTGGAGGGGAGTGGAGTGAGATGAGAGGGGAGATACAGGAGAGTGTGTGGAGGGGAGTAGAGTGAGTTGAGAGGGGAGATACAGGAGAGTGTGTGGAGGGGAGTAGAGTGAGATGAGAGGGGAGATACAGGAGAGTGTGTGGAGGGGGAGTAGAGTGAGATGAGAGGGCTGAGATATACCGGGACAATCTACAGAGGATCTTGAAGGCTGTGAGCGGTGCGTTCTTGAACTCGGTGCAGGATTGGATTGGGGGCGATTGGGGGGCACGGTGTTGTTAATGCGGACGTGCGTGCGTTACCACGACGTCGTCCGTTCGGCTGATGCGTGGCACGGAAACAGTGTGGTAGCGCCCAGCACGCGCCGCCTCGTCGCCGTCAAACACCTTCATCTTCTGCTTGCCTGTCCCGATAAAGAGAGACGCCATCTTCAGCGGTGTTGGCCTCCGCTTGCCGAACGAATACATTCTAAGGTCGCACTCATTACACACAAAGTGCTTGCCACAAATGAACCACAGCACCTCGCTGATCTCGTCAAGGAGCATATAACCATCACGCGAGCTCCAGTCATCCTCGCAGCAGCGGCTTTTGGCTAACCATCGAACAAAGACGGTCACCGCATCGCACGCTTTCAGATGCGCTGTCGCGGCGGCCTGGAATGCTCTTCCTTCCGTTATTCGGAGGCCACTGGAGCTATGCACTTTTAAATCTAGATTGAAAACTCATTTCTTTATTAACTGCTTTTTGAGTTGAGATAGTTCCCCCCCCCACACATCTAATTAGCGCAGTTGACTACGTACGATGCATTCATACACACAACCACGTATGTACGTCAGCAGCTGAAGAAGGTGTGGCCCCCAGTGTGTGGCTAAAAGAAAACACTCTACACGTTGTCAATAACACGCTGTGGCCGTAAACAGGGACAATGTACAATGGGTCATGTTTTAGGCAATGCCCCTCCCTTATAGCACACAGACGGGGCCTGAGGGAATCAGATTTCAGAATATTTCCTTATACTGGAGGAATCCGATGAGCAGAGCAAGTGGGCTAAACGCCATATGTTTTCATCTTTACGGGGATAAAGCGTTGTCCCCTCTAGAGCGTGGGTTTTCGCCGGATGCTCCGTTTTCCTCCCGCTTGTGTTGTGGCCGAAACGTCGTGAGAATGTTATTGTGTTATTTTATCAATTTATTATTTTATTCTCATTCTACGTGACTTTACCGAAAGAACCAAAGAAGATGAATCCTTGCAGTCACGAAAGCTTTAAATCGAAAAATAAACACTCATCATGAATTGTCTGAAAACATCTTAAAATATCAACATCCAATGCTGGACCCTCCTAAAAATAGTCCTCGGACTCAGTTTGCCTCTCCTGGATAGATAAGTAAATTATATATTTTATTGTTATTGTATTATTGGAGGCTGTACAATTAGAGTTTTACAATGTTTTATGATTGCCACTTTTTACATTGGCAAGGTAGATAAAAGATATCACGGGAAGGGATTTCAGAAGTAGTTCTCTTATCTTCTTCTGGGGTAATTCTCTGACACAGAGTGATGCACTGCTAAATAAACATTTATTTAGTCATGTATGTGTGTTGAACTTCTTTCGCACCATACGTAGTCAACCATGCTAATCAGACATGCGGGGAAAGGACAACAAACTAAACACAAAAATTAGTTCTATATTACAAATGTCCCGACACAATAACTAAAATAAACTGATCAGGGAGAAATGCTACTTTTTTTTTAAACGGTATCAACAAACCTTGCTTGGAATCGATCCTGGTTATCTGAACTGTACAGCTAGAGTGTAGATAGGCTACAAAACAGGCTGGGTGTGGCTCCACGTGTCCCTACCCCCCCCCAACCCAGCAGTAACGAGACTCCACCGCTGCATGTAAACACTTGCCCAAATTAATTTACGTATTTGTTTTGACGAAACAAGGACAGAGACAATTTTACACGCACCAGGACTGTACACGTTGCGCAAGAGGAGGGGAGAAAAATAAGAGAGGAGGGGGGTGAAGATGAAACAGCTGCGCGTTACATTCCTGTGAAATTAAAATTGTGCCCAAGAATGAAGGTGCTGTGACGTGGCGAGCCTTCCGGGAAGCGAGGAGGACAGGGGGGTGGTGGAGGAGCCGGAGAGGAGGGGGAGAGGGGGGGGGACAGGAGAAGAAGGGAAGAAGAGGGGGGGAGGAGGAGGAGAGGGGAGGAGTAGAGGATTTACTTAACTAACAACAAACCGCGAGAATTAACCAACCCAGTGCTGCCCACGCAAACACTGCCCCCCCCCCACCCCACAAATGCCGCTTATCACAGTCACAAGGCGGCACACGCCACAATGCGCCGCAACGCGCCACCACAGACCACGGCATTTTTCCATCACTCGCGTACCCCTTCACGACGTCTGCTGAGAGCAACGAGCATTTTTTTAAAATCAAACAGATTAAGAGCTCAATTCATTGAAATGTCGGTTGCACCGAGAAGTTAACAAACGCTGCGGAGGCGAAGCACTGCCATGCGGCGTGTCTGCACCGGCCGCTGTTTTGGGCGGACTGAGCTAAAATGCGAAATAAATTGATACAAAAAGTGGGGCCGCCTCTCATTACTTTCCCTTTTATCACCAGAGCCAAGCAGGGAAATTATGCCCCCTCCTTAAAATTACGTGGGCGGATGTACCGTGGCAAATGCACCATGTCAGATGTACCGTGTCGTATGTACCATGTCGGTTCTGCCGCGTTGGATGTACCGTGTCTGGCATTCAATGGGATTTTTTGGGGGGGGGACCCCAAAATAAAAATCGGGAACAAAAATGTTTTCGCACTTCAAAATTCTCAAAAAAAACATGGGAAAAAAATACAAATGAGACAGTAAAAATAAGAGAAAGTAGCGATCCCCTGAGTGAAATCGTAGCAACTTATAGAATCGCTGTAGGGGGAAGAAGCGTTCAAAGCTCTCAAGTGCGCTGGCGGTGCAACTGCACGAGCGTCGAGCTACAAAGAACAACGCGGAAATTGGAGAAGGTTGCCCCCCCGTGCACCAGGGCCCATGTATTACTCTACATCACCATGGTGGGGGGGGAGGGAGGGAGAAGCTGGGGGCTGGACGGGGGGGACGGAGCGGGAGTTGAATCGTTACGGGTCGAACATTGGGTCTGCAAACCACAAGCGGAATTGTCAGGGTGACGTGGAGACGCGAGCGAGGCCGACCGCTGACAAGAGGTCGAGAACCTCCAAGGTCAGGTGCGGTGCGCCGCGTCGACAGACACGGAGGTCGCCGTGTTATTACGGTCACGCTTTGCGACGGCGCACCGCCGCCAAGAGGCGCCGAGCAAACAAAAGCGATCGGGTGATACTGCCGCTGTCGACGGCGATGTTGTTGTTGTCCTTGTTGTTACAATGGTTGTCAGCGGCAGCGGAGGGTTTAGCCGAGTGAGCCGTTACGGTTGCGGAAATTAAGCCGAATGTTAAGCCGTGCAAACAACGCCGATGTGACGAGAGCCACGGAGGCGAGGCGCGCAGCCGTGTTGCGTGCGCACACGGGCGTGGACGACGAGCCACTCGTTCGGCCGTTGAGGCAAGCGACGTTAGCGAGCACCTGTTAAGGTTGGCACGATACGCGAGGGTGTGAATGTGGTGAACTTTTTTGCCGAACCCCATTTGTCTTGCCAGTGTTGATGTTTATAAGCCACAGCCAGGTACTCATGCTAGGATGAGTTGGAACTAAAGGAGGACCAGGACAGATTAAGATGATACGTGCCATTGAAGCTTTCCAGGGACGAGTATTGAACCCAGGTCTCTGGGATCGTGGCGCAGTGGACAAACTACTACTGCTTCCGGTCCCCAGTTTCCACACACAAACACGTACATATAAAGACAAAGACCACCTGTGTGGCCGACACAAGCTGTTCGGGGAAATGTTTTTATCAAGCACCTATGAAGGGCTGCACAGTGCACAAGAGGGTGGTGTGGTCAGAACCACGTCTAGTCACCTTTGTCTCTCTCTCTCCTGTGGTGATGTTTACACACCACACCAGGTACTACACATTTATGGCTGAGTCGACCCAAGGAAGGACCAGGACCATTTCAGATATTCGCCCCTGATGTTGGCCATGAACTGGAATTGAACTCGGTTCGGCAGATTCAAAACACTGCGCTAACCACAACCACGACCGGCTCCCCATACGCACCCCCACGGGCACGCACCTGTTTCAGGTGTGTTAACAGGAGAGTCTTTATTCAGAAGACCCGGTTGACTGCCCCCGCCATCTGCGATCACACACGACGCACGCAGAAAAAGCGAAGCCTCATGGCCAAAACGCACGATCGCACGCTTGCTTGCAAAAGCCGTGTGCAAGGCCTCGAAACGCTGAGGCCGCGATTGTGCTGGGGGGCTAGAGAAAGTCGCACGGAGCAACCGACAACGTTTTTCACGCACGCGCCAATAAATATCAACTTATTATGACAGTAACAATACCGCGGGTAATCGGTCACCCAAAAATATATTAGATCTTATCCGGAAAATGTGTGGTGCGTGTTCTCGGATTACACTGGTTTCCTCCCACATGCAAATCCCTTCGTAATAGAAAAACGGCCAAACATCCTTCTCTGGGACACTCTTGAGAAAAGAGCACCAAGACGTAGAGGAGCTTTCCTAGACATATATAAATGGAGCGTGTGCAGGTACCAGGTGGACTGGCCAGCGGTCGACACTAATGATGGAGTGGCGGTACGGTCGCAGCAGTGATGGGGGTTCGCTCGTGCGCAGGCGCTGGGCAGATCGTTGCATCATGGGATCGTGGGGGATGGTGGCAGCTTGGGAAGGCCTTCACCCAGCAATGGACTGATCATGGCCGATGATGAAGATGATGCATTATATTCATAATATCGGGTTTTTTTTGGGTTAGATCACGTAAATATGCATGTGTCCTTAAACCCGCCACCACCCGACACAACCAATTAGCAAGGTTTGTCAAGGAAACAGAACATGCCAATTCCTTACTAGTACAGCACAATGGTGTGTTGGGAGAGCAAATCGACAACATTTTCCATCTGAGTACGACGTTTCGCCAGTAATTACAACTAGCTTCATCAGACAACAGCCAGATTTACGGAGAAATCCTCCTGTTTTGTTCCTTAATAGAGGGATAGATGTGATCGCATCAGCCCTTCTTGTGCGAAGGGGGGAGATTAATGAAAACGCATATAAATTACAATGGGTATCCATTGCCGGTTGGGTTATTCATATAATAATCAACGTACATTATGCATGGACATTGTTCTTGTTCCTCTTGTTGTTTGCGTGCAATAAAATAGCAGTACCTGTGATTCATAATAAAGGTTTTTGGGTTAGATCGCGTTATTTATAAATGTGTCGCAACCTCCACCACCCGACACGGCCAATCAGTAAAAAATGTGTCACGTAAACAAAACGCCAATTAGTTACTTCTTCAGCCCACCAGTGTGTATGAAGAGGGAATCCACAACATTTAGAATTTGAGTAAGACGACGTTTTGCTGGTAATTAATCCAGCATCTTCGGGCGATTTGCCAGAATAGTGAAGCCCTTCATCTGCTTCCGGTCTTAAATAGTGCAGGATTACGTCATCATTGTAGAACCCCATCAGGTTTCGAGATCAGAGGCGGAGGTGGGGGGGGTATTGCAATTATGTTGCAATTATGTAATAGATCAGTAATCAGCCAATTAGCATGTAATAATATGCTTCCAGGCTGCGCTAAGTCTGGAGCTATCGGAACGGTTAAAATTATTTGTATTTTTCTCAATTTCGATGGATTCTCTAAGTAGTCTTGGCCAGTAATAATGAGTTTTTCATAACACTTCGACGGTATCAAATCAACTGAGTGTCCTTGTTGGAAAGCATGTTCTGCCACTGCTGACAGTTGTGTTTGAGTTAATTTAATGTTCCTTTGGTGTTCTTTTAGTCTTACGCTAATGTTACGTTCCGTCTGTCCAATATAGCATTTACCGTATAAGCAATTGATCCGATATACACCTTCTGTTGATAACTTCGGGAAGACATCTTTAGTACAAGACACTAATTTTAGAATTTTGTGTACCGTGCCAAATCTTACTTTAATGTTTTGCTTTTTGCAAAACACGGGCTAATTTGTCAGTTACTCCTGAGATATATGGTATTTTTATTGTTTTTATAATCTGATCACTTTCAGCAGTATTGTTGTTCGGTCTTGGTTTTGGCATTCAATGCTCTGTTAATTTGAGCATTATTGTAGCCATTCAGTCGTAGTGTTTCTTTAACATGTTTAATCTCTCTCCTTAGACTTTCACCATCTGACTGTTTTTGCCCGATATATGAGTGTCTTGATGAGAGGTGATTTCTGTGCTGGGTGATGATGCGAATCTGCATTCAGATAGGCATCAGCGTGCGTTCCCTTGCGGTAGACTCTCTCTGTGTGTTATTTTGCCATTTAGACCGCGTCCAAGCAAAATATCTAGGAAGGGGAGTGTGTTGTTCACCTCCATTTCCATGATGAACTGGATGGCCTGATTTTGTGCATTTAGATTATTTAGAAATGCATTAAGTGTCGATGACACTTTGGTTGTCTGGCCACATGGTAAATGTAAACCGCATCTCAAGAGACTTGTAGGAGTACATAGACATTTGAATGGAGGATATTTTTGTTATAGGTTTATTTTGGGAGGGGAGGGTAGGGAGGGAGTGGGTGGGTGGGTGGGAGGCTACAGCTCAAATGGGGAAAGGAGGCCACTATACGGACAAGAGGAGGTCAAGAAGACTCCTCGTACAGGAAGAGACAGTCATTTATAGAAAGTGGTAAGTCTTAAGCTGGGACTCGAAAAGGCGAACTCCCATGGTGGGTGGAGTTCCAGACTAAAGGGGTAAACAAGTCATGTGACTAACAGTTTTTTCATGAGGGTTTGGCATTAAAGGATGTTTGGAGAAATCCTTTTGGGTGAGTGTTTTGCATGTGGGAAGAAGCCAGAGTGCCTGCGGATAATCAAGACCTTAAAGGAAAAGCACAGAAGTACAATCCCAAGCGTAGAACATAAGTCCCGGTCCTCCCCCCCCCACCTCCGTACCAGCCTCCGCAGCGATGGTTTCCTGAAGATGCAGGTTGCCGTAGAGACGCACACAGTTCGGCGGAAGGACCAGGCTATGGAGGCGCCCGAAGGAGCACTCGGGGGGGATGGAGGAGCAGCAGCCGGAGTGAACCTGGGCACGCAGGGGGACACAGAGACAAGGGAGACACGGGACGGGGGTGAGCGTGGGGTCACATGTATTCGGGAGACATGACACAGAGATGTGAGAACGTGGACACACGTGAGAAAGGGTACAGAGGGACACGTGATCACACAGGGACACGTGGATGTAGGGACACGGGAACAACTTGGAGAAGGACTCACGGTGAGGCCACACCAACCACAGCGCATGCTGCACAGCGCCTCGGAGGAGCTGCACGCCTTGCGGCACACCTCGCAGCGCGAGCCCGACGGCATGTTTCCCTCTCGCCAGTGGTGGATGGAGAGGACCTGTTGGGAGCAACGGGGCAGACGCAACCACCCTCGTCAATTCGCTTTTCTCGCACACGCACACACGCACCGCCCTGATTGTATGCATGTTGAACTTCTTTCACACCATACATAGCCAACCGTGTCAATAGGAGGTGTGCGGGAAGGACAATAAACTAAACACAAAAATAATACATTAGTTTTCAATCCACTGCTGGATGAGGGTGTCCCTAGGCCGCATAGGCCGTGGGGATTATATGACCGGACTTGACCATGCTGGTCACTCTGGGTTAGTAAAGATGAGGAGCATTGACGCAGGACCATATGAGTACAGTACAGCAGTGGATTATAGTGCACTTAAATTCTGCTGGGCAACACGTAGATCTTCGGCCCTTTGCCAACATGTGGTGGTCGCCCGTCCAAGCCCTGTCTCGGCTCCAACCTGCTTAGCTTCTGAGATGAGATTTGGTCACGTGAAATGCACTTTTATTGGTCGTACAACAATGATTAAGTAAGGTGATGAAACAACGAGGCGGAGGAGAGCAGGTTGCAGTGCTTGTGAAACACTAAACCTAAAAATGAAAAACAATGCAGCAACGTGCCCAGAGAAGAAGAGAGTTGTAGAGTTTATTTCTTGCTATGACACATAGATGAGAGATGGGAGAGATGCGATGAGCTCATGTGCAGGAATGATCAGATGCACCGTTACATCGCAGGACTTTGAGCGACCTGTATGGCTTAGGCAGCCTTCATCCAGTAGTGGATTGACCATGGCTGATAAAGAAATTGGTACCACTAAAATGTATCTGCCTCTTACCTCAGTGTCTGCGTCTACTCTTGGACCATAAACCAATGGTGATTGACTGAGCAAGTGGCCCTTTTATTTCACAAGCCACGGATCCATTGAGATTTATGATCTCTGTCAATGTACTTTATCTACACATGGGAGTGCCCATTGAGATTGAATGTTTTTATTTAAACAAGGCAAGGGCCCATTGAGATTCATTATCAATGTCTTGCACAGAAGACTCTGGAGAGCGGGTTTGAAATAGTTTTATTTTTTTACAATTCAGTTTGATAGCATCATATCTCTGTCACATAGAGAATTTCATCATCATCATCATCCTCGCTGTCGTCGTTATTAGCCATGATCAATCCACTGCTGGATGAAGGCCTCCGCCCCTCCTGCAATCACCATCTCTCACAATCCCGTGTGCGTAATAATCCACCTGGCACTTGCACCCAAGCCGATTTCATCTCTCTTGAGATAATTTCGTTCGCTTGCTGTTTTTTTTTTCATCTGGGCAATTTACAGATAACGGAATAACGTGTAAAACCTGACATTTCCGAGAGCTGCTCGAGCCTCATTGGAGGCACACGTCGAAAAAAAAAAACTGAAAAAAAAACGCTCGTTTTAGGCCCTTGGCACCGTTACGCGCATGGGCCGTTTTTTTTTCATTTGTTCAACTGCGGGAGCGTTTAAAAATACCGGGCGATTTTCATCGCGCCGAGAGAACATTTGGGGTTCCGCATCGATTATGTATCCATCGGGGAAAACGTTGCGTGCAATTTCGGACACTAAAAATACACACGGAGAGCAGGAGCCTCCCAAAGCGGTACACGCTCTTGCTGGGCCGTGTGTGCCAACCCTGCGGTGAAGTCCTGAGACGAGGGGGGACGAGCGAATTCATTTAGAATCAGAATCTTTACCTACACTGGAGGAATCCGATGAGCTACGAAGCTCTCCTTCACATATGTATGCTGAACTTCTTCCGCACCGTACGTAGCCAACCGTGCCAATCGGAGGTGCTGATGTCCAGTATTCACACTGCTACTGTGGCGTCCTATTCTATGGAAACGACAAGTGCAGCTTGCGTACAAAGATTGTACCCACTCCCCCAGTAAACTGAAACTGTGACGCAATAATAATAGTTGATCGCAAGATGCACTACAATTCCAAGCGATGGCCAACATCAAACGGACCTCCCTCCCACTTCAACAACGCGTACTGACCAGTGTAGTGAATTACGGTCAAACAACCTTTGTGACCGACGTAACGTGGGCAGGCCTTCATGCAGCAGTAGACTGACAGACAGGATGTAAATGATTATTTCTTTATCGAGAAAAGTCTCAACATGTAGACCTCTGCACAAATGTATTACAATTAGTCACTTCCTGTACTGTCCTCTCGTGGACACCTGGCAGCCCAAGCTGACAACACCTGGTATTCTCCGGCAGTCTGCCATTGATGTAACTAACCAGCCTCAGCCCTGCTTGGTTCTGAAATCCACCAGTAAGGGCGGACGCATCCAGGTTGATTTGGTCGCAGGCATTCTGCGTTTTTCCCCGTAAAAAAATTCCAGTGCCGACTTCCCCCACAAACACCGGTGAAAATGGGGGGCGGGGGTGCGCGCGACGCCCAACGCTTTCGAGACGTACGGCGGACTGGCATGCGGTGGATTTACAACGCACGTCCTATTTGTAAATTCCCACGTCTAAAAATAAGTCATCCATAAACATCCTGGGCTACGGAGCATTGCTTGTTCAAACAGCGTGAAGTTTGCAGAAGCCAGCAAAAAAACCAAGCCCCCTGAATGCCGGCTCTCAGAAGTGACTGGCACCCACAGTGGGTGAGGGGGGTGTTGGGGAGGTGTGGGTTTTGGGGGTGAGGGGTGGGTAGGGAGTTGGGGGGGAGGTGACTGAGATCACATGGGTGTGTCACCCTGCCGTTAACACTCAACATGGCCAGACACAACTGTGATGTTATTCTAATTATAATGTATTATTGTGCTTGCTTACCGTGGGAAGCCTCACAGAATCTCATGACCCTTTGCCAGCAGGGTCCTGCCAAATCTTTGCAATACAAATTAAAATTCCCTATATTTATCCAAAAAAGTTTTGCTGAGCATCGGAACTTTTTCAGGAGGGTCCTGCTTAATTGGCTTATTTTGTCAATTCCATCAAATAGTGTTTGGCTTCATGTGGGAGGAAACCGGAGAGACCTGGATTAAACCCACACGTACGAGGGGACACCACTGAAAAACTTCACACAGAGTCAAGAATCCCCTGATGTGATGCCAATTGATCAGGACCTCATAACCCATGCCTACAATAGAGCTTCCCCTCTCACCAAACAAACTCGACAAAAATAAAAACACACGCAACAGGCGTTTGCTTCGGCTCGCGTGGCACGGGTGCATTGCCGTCAACGATCCCAACCGAGACAAATCCAAGTGTGTGGGAGTGTTATATGGACTCACCAGCTCCCCCGGCCGCTCCTGGTTGCACTGCCGGCAGTCGCTGCAGGCGAACTGCATGCAGTCGGCGTGCAGGTGGAGGTCACACACTGCAAAGAAGGGGGGGGGGGGGCAGCAGCAGTGTCACGGTTAGTCATCGCCTGTTCCCCGTCTGCTCGTACAGCCGCTCACCCAATCCGCTCACCCATCTGCCTGTTCGCCCATCTGCTCGCTCGCCCCATCGCTCATCCATTCGTCCAACCTCCGTACCTCCAATGGAAACTCTACTTCAAAAGCTAAAATTCAATCATTGGAGCTCAGGGCTGTAGAGGTGGCGGCGGCGGTGGGGGAGAGGTGAGGCAATTTGCCTTAGGCCTCAGATCCAAGGAGGCTTCAGAAAAGGTCAAGGGGACATCTGAGGGGGCCTCATTCTGGCATTTTGCCGCAGGACTGAAAAATAATTTCACCGGCCCTGTTGGCGCTATTCTTACAGGGACAATTGCATAGCATCTAAAACACTATAGATTGATTTATTAAAGTTGTCTTTATTACAAGTGAGATGTGCTGGCAACAAGCCGGTGTGTGGAGATAATTAATTGTAACGTTACAAAATTGAAGCAATTTCTCTGCCAATTGGGAGACTATCCCACAGAATCGATGTTAAAGTAATTTCCTGACAACCAAACCAGGACTCTGGCCTGTAAACTCGTGCAATGCTGAAGAACAGGTTTGCGCAACCCATATCACAGTGGGAATAAACGGCCATGATCATTCATAAACTATAATTAATCAGCGATTGTAAAGTTGACTAAAAACTACAGACTCTGCAATAAGAGGTATGTCATGCTAAATGTATGAACGCACTGTACAACTGTATACTGCGAGATAAACCTTTATTTGTGAGTTTTTATTCATAGTAAGCAATTATCAGTGGTTAGCCGTGATGTAGTGGTTAGTGCACTGAACTGTGAACCCTGCGACCGATTCCAGGCCATGGTCAACATCAGCGGAGAGCGATATCTGAATGGGTCCATGAGCAAACTCGCGCCAACCAGTGTCGTGACCTATGGTGAAATAACCCCACGCCCGATAGCACATGGGGAGGCCTTCATCCAGCAGACTGACAAATGAGTATAAATTCTTATTATTAAGAAATTGCTTTAAATTATATCAAGAGAAGACAAAGAGAAACATATGGAACAGAGAACATACGCAGGTTAAAGACAGCATATGGTACGTGGGCTTGGGTAGAATACGTCTCGAGGAGGGATGATGGCTGGTGGTTGAGAATAATGGAGTGGCTACTGAGCACCAGAATGGGTCAAAGAGGACGTATATCGAGAAAGAGCAACAAGGGACATACTCGTACGCAGATCGCAGCTAGATTGTTACGTCACAGGACCGTGAGAGTTGGCGACAGCTTGAGTAGGCCTTCAACCAGCAAGTGGACTGATCGTAGCTGATGACGATGACAATTATAATGAAGATTAAGGAATTCTTACCCTGTTGCATATCAGCTCATGTGTCCATTCCCTTCGACTTTAAGCAATGCTCAAAAGATGCCATTTCATTTAGGGCAGTAGAGAGGCCTCGAGGAGAAAACGCAACAACGAGCGACATAGCATCCCCGCCGCGGTAAAATTTAATCAATTTTGCCGACAACGTTCGCCCATCGGCAGCGTTGCAAGTCATCGTTACGAACCCCATTCACGACCACCAGGTTCTGGTGAAACTGTTGCTTGGAGGAACGTAGGTCCCAAAACTTTCTAGCACAGCAGGACTGTGGTCACGAGAAGCCATCGGCAGGGACGGCGCTATCGGTTTCAACGCAGTTACACCGTGTGGGTTTGTTCGGCATACAAATTCAACCGTGTTTCCTCAGGATGCCGTGCCACCAGTGTGAAGCAGTGCATTTTCGGAGTGTTGGGAAGAGGTCATTTCCATTGCATTATTGCCATCGAATATTTGGCACTCTTGGCAGAAAGTATTCGAGCTCGAGGCGACGTAGAAGCCAAATTCGAAAAGCGTCCGGCGACTCTGAACTGAGTGGGAATAATTGGACGCCTTCATTTGGCGAACGCCTAAAAAGTGCAGCGGAAGGGTGCGTCCGTGACAAAGACGACTGTGGGCACGTCTCGGCGCGGAGTATCTGTCCCGTCGCATGCGGCAACGGGCCGTCAAACGGACAAGTGAGACTTCCACCAACGCGCCGTCATGAACGCAGGGGCGCAGGCACCTCCGCGGCGGTGTCTCAATGCGAACTCTCCGGCCGGGTGCCGGAACGAGCCGGGTTTTATTGCAGCGGCTGCTGTTTTAACGCGCACGAAATATAATTTTTAAAACCTCGGTCAAAAGAAATCTATTGGGTTTAGTTTTTTTTTTTTTACAAAGATCTGTGTATCTTCACCCTTTCGAAACAGTCTCGATGTCATCTTCTTAATGTGCTCTAATGGGAAGAGGAGGCGGAAGTGGGGTAGGGTAAGGATCGGAGCAGTCTTACTCTGCGCACACTTCGTTAAGAAATTTTCGTCATGTTAAACTATCCCCGTGCGGTAGAGAGCAACGGCAGCGAGCGTTGTCAGCGTCAGCAAGCATCGTCAGCGTAAGCGGCGGCCGGGGGCGCTGAACCCCCCCCCATCCCTCACTAAGAGCCCCCGGGTGCACAGCGCCAGCTCACGGTCAAAGCTCTTCAACCGTACAAACCCACGCGCTATTAATACCCCCGTACGCGCCTGAAGTAGAAGTCGGAAAAAGGTTGCACGTAAGAAGAAGACCTGATACGGGCTGTGACGAGAAGGAAACTGGCACTGTTTGGACACATACGTAGGATGGACAACAACAGGAAAATTAAAAGTGTGCTGTTCGAGAAATGTATGGAACCAGAAAGAGAGGAAGATCTACCAGAGAATAGCTTGATGGCGACATAAGAGGTTAATGCAAGAACGATTCGGCACTACTTGAGCATACTGGCATAAGACAGAGGAAAGTGGAAACAAATGACGAAATCTGCAGTGGACACCTACGGGCTATCTGCCCATGGATGGTGGTGATGATGATGACGTGCACGAAGCCTCTTGCCAAATAAAACAGACTGCACCCAATCTCGTCGGCACTATCCCAGGCTCAGCCCTGCTTGGATGGGCGACAACCGCGCAGAGACAGGTTCACACAGGGGCGCTGTGGGGCTACGTTGCGGGCTGTAGGTGGCAGTGCAGCAAAATCCATCATTGTCCTGTACTTCTATGCTCTCTGCCTCTATCCACCCACACTGAGCAGCGTGGGTGAAATATAGTCGAGTAATCCACATGACCGGTACGACATCGGGAGGCCCTCATCCAGCAGTGGGGACTTATAAACGAGCTGTACATGCGCGTGCGCAGCTGGTGAATGTTCTAGTTTAATGAAACCCACTGCAGGCTTTGGCGATAAAAAAAATCAATAAACGCCACGACGTCCGTGGGCACGTTGGCATCGGCAGTTTGGGGCATTCACCGGAATCGTTGGGCAGCGGGACACCCGGGAGCCGGCACGACGGGCTTTGTTCGGTGGAGCGTGCCGCAATTTAAATACATTATCAGCTCACGACGTGAGCCAACTGCTAATGCTGGTCATGCGCAGCGTACGTGACGTGCGCGCAATCGCCGGCCACACTAATCTCTTGCCAGCTTCACGCGACAAACCTACCCGTCATTTGATGTGTGTGTGTGTGTAAAATGTACTGCCCTTTGTCAATCCACTGCTAAATGAAGGCCTCTCCAAGCCATGTGGGTCGTGGGGGGTGTTTGACCACATTCAGCAGTAGTGTAGCGGGTAGCGCACTGCGCTACGAACCCGGTGATCCCGAGTTCGATTCCAGCTCACAGCCAAAACCAGTGACTATTATCTGAACCAATTCTGGGGCTCCCCTAGGTCGACTCAGCCTCAAATAAGTACCTGGTGCAGTGAGTAAACATCACCACTAGGTAGACAAATACACACCTCCTCGTGCGCCGTGCCGGACTTCATAGGTGCTCGCTAACAGCACTTGCCCCAGCAGTCTGTTTAGGGTGTCTGGGAGATTTTTGTCTTTGTTTTTTGTAAAATCCAATCCACTGCTAGATGAAGGCCTCTCCAAGCCGTGAGGGTTGTGGGGGTTGTTTGACCTTATTTCAATAAGCTGGCGAATATATCACAAGTCACTGATATTATCCGTCGACAGGTTGTCTGAAAGGCAGAATTTTTGTTTCGGAATCATTTGAAGAGCTTGACGTCAAGTTGGCTTGAGGCTTCTCATTGCAAGCACTCATGGGTAGGGCCACACACAGAGCGTGTGATCCATATGCAGTGCAGATGCACTCCTACTCTATTCGACTGCAGTACTTGAGAGCAGGTCAAGACAACGCGAGAGCGAAACGGCTGCAGTGCGACATCAGACTGCGAACGTCATAACAGTGATATATTCTACAGCGCGAAGAATTCACATTCACGATTAAACAATAAACGGTAAACATCGTAACCGCTTCATTTGAGTCCAACAGGGCGTTACCAAATGACTGACAGCCCTTTTCACTTAAAGCAATATTGTTCCATGTATGTGGACCACCGTAGCTACACGATCTATTTCCATATTTATTTTTAGCGATGTGACAGAAGCATTTACATCGTAAATTAAGCAAAGTTTGCTTTTGATGGGAGCAAACCAGACAGGCTGGGTGACAATTTATTTATTCTGCTCCGAGAGGTACCATGGCCGTCAGCGCAGAAATGTGGCCATGTCAAGTAAAAATGTTACCTCACATCATCATCAGCGCTAATCAATCCACTGCTGGATGAAGGCCTCCACCAAACTGCTACAAAAATATAAATTCCTCATCTACTGTAATGCACTCCATGTCATCCGTACGGTTGGGTGGGTGCCTTGGTTGAGGTCTCAGAGCCTTGGGAATTCCCTCAAAATGCAGTGAATCCTAAAAATCTGATTTCTCGTTTCCAAACTGGGCCCCCTGTGGAATCAAGTGTGGTGTTACCAATTCAAGCTTCATGCGGCCCGATTCCACAAACAAGCGAGCCCAGCGTTAAGGAATCTCTTTCCATATCAACGATTCAGGTGCTCCATCATCCATTTGCGCATAGCACCAAATTATATCACTAACAAGCCGAGCTCCATTTACAATCATGAACATGCCGATAGTTTTGGGAATATTTTTCCAGTGGAAAGGGACATTTCCATCGGAGCTGTGGCCCGTCCATAACAGTGTAAATGTGAGAGTAAAGTGAGAAGCCAGGAAGCAGGAAACTGGGAAGTGAGAAGCAGTAAAGTGGTAAAAGTGAGAGAGTGAAGAGCCGTGAAGCAAGAATAAATCAAGTAGCGAAGCAAAAAGTAGGGAAGTGGGATACACAGTGGCAGTGAGATGTACGGAAGCAGTGGAGCAAAAAGCAGTTAAGCATAAAAGCGTGAGAAGCAGAAATGTTTAAAGTGGGGAAGCAAGAACCAATACAAATAAGCATAAGGGAAGCAAGAAACAGAGAAGCGGGGAGCAAAGCACTGGTCGCATGCACCTCTCACCTTCGCATCGGTAGGCAAGGCTGTCCTCCAGGTGCCGCCTGCACACGTTGCAGAACTTCTTCTTGTACTGCCCCGGGGAGGTGAAGCAGTGTGCCACGGGGACCTGTACGCAGGTGAGGGCACCGTCACGTCAGCACAGCCCACCACTGGCCAACCAGCCAGGTACCAGGCCAACCGTTCAGGTGCCAGCCACCAGCTGGCCGAGTACAGACCAAGCGTTCAGGTGCCAGCCAGCTGGCAAGGTACTGACCAGCCAGCAGCCGGTTACTGTCTAGCTGGCCAGGTATCTGCGCACAAAGGTACGCTTACGCGCGTTAGTGCGTACGTGACGGAAGAAGCACTCAGTGTGATTGGAAAAGCAGTGCGGGTAAGAGAATACACGTAAGGGTTTATGTTCCCACCAGCAAATCCGCTAGTGTTTGTCAGATTCTTACGGTAAGGAACACGGCGGCGCCTCCATTGGTTGCAATGGGGATTAGAGGACACTCATCTGCAGGTTGTAAAATGTCATCTTAGGACTGGATAGGGCACGTCGCCAGTGGTGCTGATACCAGGTGGTCGAGACTAACAACAGAATGGCAGATAGCGGAGAGAACGCGCCCAAATGTAACTTGAGTACGGAGATTGAGCGACGAGGTCAGCTCGTGTGCAGGAATGGTCACCGTCGCAAGAACGTGAGAGACGGCGGACGGCTTAGGGCAGCCCTTCATCCAGCAGCAGATAGATCGCGGCTGACGATAACGATCGCGATGGTACGCGACCCTGAGGCTCTACTTAAAGCGACTTTAAATTTACATGCGGAAATTGGCGGGACAATTAGTTTGCTGTTTTTTCGGGTCCCCTCCGCTTTTTGCATCGGGATAATCGCTCCACACATTGCAGGAGGCCGCCGGGCTCTGGGTGGCCATGCAGGAAGTTAGCCCGCCGCACGGACTTGTTTGCGCCTTCCAAACACGCGCAGGTGTGCTATTCTGGGCCGGCCAGTGGAAAAACTTTGTGGCCACCAATTACGTCAAACCGTCCAAACACACGCCAACCAGAAGGGCAGTGCGGTAATATATTTGGAGGGTTTTTATTTCCCCTGCCTCTGGAGAATGGCGGCATAGGTTGTGATGTGCCAGCCTTTAATACGACCGCATGAACAAATAAACAAACCTGTTGATGAACCGTGGTATCGTAGACATCAATAATTTATTACAAAAACCGATTTCACAAAATCTCATAGCAGCGCACTTATTCAAGTGAAAAGGCACTGAAGTCGAAGCAGATGGAGTGAAATCCTCTTTGAATGTTTTTCGTCAGTTTTTCTTTTTGTGAAAAAGTCTTGGTCACCAACAATGGGGCAAAATGGCCACGGTGATTTGACAAGTTTTGGCCATTTAGTCAAGGAGTAAAATTGGACCCAAAGACCACGCAAATTACCGCACCATTCTCTCCCCATCATTCAGTCACTTCCTCGTTACTCTTTTATTGTTACGACAACGGTTGTTGCGCCATGTAAACACCGTGCCATCACACCCCACCCCTTTGTCACGGACTCGTTCGATCGGAATGACAGTTTTCTCTCACCCTATATCAGGAAAAAAACGTTCTCTTCCTCCTCCTCCTCTCTCACACACTCTCCTTTTCTCAGGTTGCTATGAGCCTGCCACAAAGAAAAGTGAGTTGGTTCTTATCTGCTGTACTATCATTAGTGCTCTCTGTTTCTGTCTTTGGAACTCCCATGCCACTGTCTCCTTTTTCCAAGTTCATATTATTTGTTATTATTACTATTACTTAAAATCACACTCGTTTACTCAGGAAAGCCTCAGGAAAGCCTCACCGAGTCTCATCACTCTCTTTCAGGAGGGTCCAGCTAAATTTTCACAGTGGTGGGCGATGGTTGCTTTGTAATATCCAAAATGAGTCATTTGCGGGTCATCTTTCAATTCTGACCAATTTGGACCATGGCCGCTGGCACACAATGGCTGAACCCTTGCGAACGACATCAAAGAATCTTTAGCATCCGCTATGAAGAGGACGGCGCGTAGTATTTTTATGATTAATACGCACGCAGTACTAATTGGGGCGGCCGCTGGATTCGAACTGTGAATCTCTGCTGCATCAACGCCCCTATGACCTCGCTCAAATAAAGTTGAAAACGTGAAGCTTCCAATCTCTTTCTACGTACAATGTCCCTTCTCAAAGAGGTTTGCGATCACGTCCTTCCAATTAGCTCTCCGCACCTCCGATTAGCACAGTTGGCTATGTATGGTGCGAAAGACGTTCAACATACATACTCCCCATTCACTTATTTGCTTACCGCTTTGTATTAGAGGCATTTGGCTCGCCGCGGCTGTGCAGAATGTTTTCACAGGGGCTGAGTGGGCGCCTCGAGACGGGCTTACCTTGACACAGGTGGCCAGGTGAGTGGAACACATGATGACCACACTCTTGAGGCATTTCTCGTGCGACATGAACTTGCAGACTGCAACAAGATGGGAGAGGAAGGTAACACAGACTGCGGGGGAGGCTTCTATGCGTTACTCATGCTTTCGCAAACGATTTCAACCATAACTCGGGCTCATTCCTCTCTGCTGCGCTCATAGTTTGCTACTCTCATTGTTTTTCTTCCCCAGCCATCTGTGATGTAGGCCTCCTACCCCTGTTCAAATCCAGGCTCAAGCCCTGCCTTATTTCCCCTTTGCCTATCACTGACTGCCTCTCCATCTATTAAATAAATGTGCGCACCATTGCTGTATGGCTTCTTGAGAGGCAGTCGCATTTGGCTGTCGCTATATAAATCCCAATTGGACTGTATGGTAATTGTACATTTTAAAGAAGCATATGATACCCATGTGTGCAGAGAATATATCTGGAGTGGAGCTGCTGTTGCAAAAAGGTGACACATTGGACTCCTATCCCCAAAAGGGCCGAGTTCAATTCCCTGTCTCAAGGTTGCATGGCAACCAAAACTGCCCATGTCCACTAAACAGAAAACAGAGCGAGTAATATTGAGAGGTGAACCCCTTGTGGTGGGGTAAAGTGTGGGTAACTCCCAACTCTATAAACATGTTATCACACAGGTAACATCGTCACCTCTATCTGCCATACTTTAATGTAAATGGTGCAGTGTTCCTCAACGCCAGTCCTTGGGACCAATCACTGCGACAGCCAATCATTTGCATTCATATGGAAATGCAGCAATTTCCTGATGATTGATAATCACAGGAGACTGTACCTTGGAGTTTGAGAAACGCTGATGTACAGTGCAAATACACGATGAAAATGTGCGGATGAGACTGCTGCCGTGTTTAAACTTACAAATACTTTCAACGTCTGTAAACCCTTCAACATAACACTTCATTTTTTTTTAAACCCCTTCACAATTGCTACGTGACACTCGCCCTGGTGTTCTTTTTGAACTCACTGTCACCCGGAAACAAAAAATGCACACTTATCCCCTCCACTGAGCTCTCGCAAAGCAACCAAACCGGATTTATTTTCAGCCACGGCCTGACCTAACGCTTGGTGAACATTCAAAATAATGAAGCCGTGTCAACAATTGGCCCGCAAAAAGTTCCGTCGTGGACCGAGGACTGAGCGCCGTCCCGCACCCGCCAACCCCGACTCCCGAGCTCAATTGCCCCCGTAGATGATCGAGGTCGGCGCGGAGCCGCCCCGTCGTTACGATTCCAGCCGCGAAAACTAAACACAATCGCCGGTGACGCGCACCACAACTGGCACGTGCGATCCGCTCGTCTGTTCGGGCTAGGAGGAGAAATTAACCCTTTCCCATTCCGATGACGTACATGCGTGTACGTCATCTGTAAAAGGCCATGCGGGAGGGCGTGTGGCACAGTTTGTCGCTAGAGTTCTCTGCGGTGAGCACAATGTCTATAAAAAAACAGCGGAGCGATCCCTTTCTAAATAATATTAACGCTAACCGCTTACGCATTCCGAGATTCAGCAGTGAAGGGATCCACCCTGCAATTTGCAGACATCTCGGAATGGGAAAGGGTTAGGCCACGGCGTTGCATTATGGAGGGAAGAAAAAGAAGGTGCGATAATACGAAGAGCGAAGATATGTGCCGAGAACAAGTGGCTACGGGCAGGAATCACTGAGAAGTCTGATGAGAAGGAAGGTGGCGTATGCGGGATATGACTGAAGGGGGGGGGGGTCATATCGGGAGACATGACGGTGACAGCAAAGGTGATTCTGCAAGGGTACATGGGAAGGAAGAGGGGAAACGGAAGGAAAAATATCGGTTCGTGGGACAGTGTGAGCAGTTGGACGGGGCTCTCCATGAAATTCTGAAGATCGCGGAAAGGTGGAAAGCACCTGTCATGGGAATCAGCCCTCAGATGTGAGGATGATATTATTAAGTCAGTGTTTGTCAACCTTTTTGGTATGGCGGCGCCCAATCAAGACCACTAGACCCTGCACGCACCCGCACCCCCCCAACTCCCACCACTAGCATCCTTCCCAAGTTACTAAGGCCATAACACAGTGAGGTCACATGTCCATGCCTCGAGTCAACATGGTGTTTGTTTCGTGTCGAGTTTATACTTTTTGTCATTGCATTGTGGTGTTGACGTTCCCCGCACGCATTCAAAATATCTCCTGCACTGTATCCATGCAGCAGCCTGTGCACCCCTGCCCACCCCCCAAAATGCTTTCGTGCCCGCTATGGGGGGGGGGAGCACTAACTGCTGTTCTAGGGAGATAGTACAGCATCTGGCTCTGTGCCACCACTCGGCGTGTGACACAGACAACGCGTGAAGCCCTCGCCCGTCTGCTTACGAATCACCGGCAATACAACGCCGGCGCGGCGACACGTGCTTTACGCAGGGGCATCGTCGCGTCCTGCTGCGGTAAATCATCACGACGAGCTTTGTAATTGCAGCCGACAACGATTTCCGTACTAAACCAACGCCACACTTTTTTTCTCTCTTCTGACCGTTAAGGTGGCTTGGGAAAGTGTGCGAGTGTGTGTGCGTGCGCACGTGTTTTATGATCACAGTTTCCTTGAAACATTGACTACGTCACGTCAACTTGCTCGACTCGCCACGCTCCGCGCCGAATGAAAAATGTCGCAGTATCATTAACGCTAAGCGCTAATCTATATTTCCCCAAACAGCGGCCGGCAGACTGCAAATTACGGGAGAAAGCCAATACGTGCCTGCAAATAGCGGCGAGAACATTCAATCACAACGACCAGGCAAACGCTGGTGGCCGTCTTAAGCGACGTCGACCGCGCTATGAAATGTGTGCGAAACCAGTTTGTTGGGGCTGCTCGCCACGAAGAGCGCATCACAGCAGGCCAGACGTGTCTGCACTCGCGCAGCCGAGCCCTTGTTCATTGTTGATCGAATGTCACGGCGCAGGTCTCGTGTTGCTCTTCACGCACGGGGGGCATCTTCCCGTGCCCCACCCAGCCACCGCCGTCACATGCAAGGAGCCCGTTCCGAGCGCCCGTCTTTCGGTTTGAAATGGCGCGGCAATCAATGTTCTGGGACATCGCGAATAAAGTTCGATAGGTATTTTGTTGGTGTAATTCGGCACAGGGTGCTAACATTATGTTTGTAAAGCCACTGGCCGAATCGCCTGCAATGCAACCCATTACGTCACTTGTTGGAAGCTATGCAGGGCTGAGCCTGGCGAGTGCTTGGGACGGGTGACCTCCATGCACACAACAGGTGCTGCAAGCTGCTTCGGAGCTGCGTTGTGTTTAACAGACAGTTGTGCAGCAATATCCATCATTGCAATATACAATGTTTCTATGCTTCACCGTCTATGCTCCGCGCCTTCACCAACCTGCTGTGGCCAACATAGCCAAGTATCGTCAAATAACCCCCCATGACACACACGGTGCAGGGAGGCTCTCATCCAGCAGTGGATTGACAAAAGGGCTGCACATGTCCACGATGTTGGAGTCACCATGATTGACAAATAAATGCCACCTCGTTTCAAAAATTACAGGGTGCTAATTGCAGTGAATTGCCAGCTCAGATCTTCCACCAAAAGCCAACCAGTTTCAGGCAAAATGATCACTAAACTTCTCATGTCACCTTATTTGCGTGCATACACTGTGATCCTGACAAACTGGCTGTCAAGCCAAACAGATCAATGATAAGTGGTATCTCGACCTATACCTCCCCTAGGTTGACTCCACCTTAAATGAGTACTGTATGTATATGTATGTATATTCAACTTCTTTCGCACCGTACGTAACCAACCGTGCTAATCGGAGGTGCGTATACAGGCATCGTACCACACGGGCAGACAAAAGCAGCTAAAATACACCCTCGTACCATGTGACGGTCTTAACAGGTGCTCGCTAACAGCAATTCTCCCTCCGGCTTGTAAGACAAAACGGGATATTTCTAAAGTAATTTGTTTCAACTGCCTCCTCCTATCGCTCCCATCCAATCTCCACGGTTTCACATTCCTGCTCAAACATAAACGCGTCCAACCGGTCTGGGTGGATGAGGAGTTCCAAGTTTGAATAGTGCGATCGCTGCTGCGCCGCGCGTTGTGCCTGCACCGCGCGTTGTTCCTGCACCGCTCATTGTGCCTGCACCCCGGTGCAAGCCTGCCGTTGGTGGCATATCGAACATTGACTCTTAAATCGAATCGTGACTCGGAAGCGTTACAATTTGTTGAATCGTTATGCGAGGGGCAGTAGCGTGGCTATTGAGTGTGCAGGCGGTGTAACTGCATCAGGTCCCACAGGTCAGGGGGGCCCAGGCGCCGAGGCTACGATGAGTGGGGAAATTAGACAAGACCTCCTTGCACCAGGACCCATGCCAGCCACGGTACGCCACTGCCTGTAGTTCAGCGTTTTGGATGGGATGATTGGTGGATAACACCAGTTTGTTTGTTCCAAACTCATTGGCAGCGAGATGGCAGCACTAGAAGTGGGTTCTTTAAATGAATTCTGTGCAAATCTTTGATTATCCTCTAGGATGCATGCGATGGGTTCTCTGGCTTCCTCCCACAAGAAGACAAACACTCATTAATGAAATTTCCCAAAGGTTCCAAGTCAGGACCCTCTATAAAAACGTGACTTGGTGAGGCTCTCGTGGGTAAACAAAGGGCATTGTTTTGCAACAAGCCTGCGCTCAGATGATGCAATCAACTCTGTGAGATTGACTCACATCTCACCCAAGCAGAAAAAATACAGAACGTTTACATCGCTGTTTAACATAGAGAAAACTGAGCAGCTGTGCAAATCGAAATATATTCATGTTTTTTGGTTATATATGAACAACATATTTACTATTTTATTGTTACATTCCTGAAGCGGATTGGCCACAAAGTCCACCTGATTTTTTTTCTGAATCATCTCTTTCAACTGCCGTCGCGTTATTTTATCGCGGCAATCATGACAACGCAGCTGAGAACTGATCTCTCCCCCTACCTCAATCCAGCGGTCTAATTTTTGTCTGCATATGCGAAAGTGGCAGAATGCACAGCACAATACC